AAAATTGCTTTAATTTGAAATAATTTTAAAGCGCCAATTGATGACGTATGAAAAATACACCCAATCACATTGGAGAACCGTGCTCATGCGCCAGCCAACAACTGGCAATATTGCGATTTGATTTGACCAGCACCACCTCAACTCAAGGCCAATCAACATGATATGGGCAAGGCAAATATTGCGGCAAAGGCAGCGCATTATTAAATTGTTTACCTTTAACCTGAAAAGCCGATAGTGGTTTCTCGTTCCGATTGCATACCAGAAATAATTAATTATCTCTAGTTTGTTGTGCTTCTACAACACGTTTGTTTAGTTCTTAGTGTTCAGTGCATGGTGTGATCAGAAAATTGTGATAAAATAACAGTGTAATAAAAATCCAAACCAGACATTCCACATAGAGAACTTCAAACTTTTGTGCTTGTCGTACTTCTCTATATTTAATTATTTTAAGGTAAGAACTAGAAGTATTTATCAAGATATTACACCTAAATGAGTAAAAAGCCTTCGCCGCCAGTCTGCATAGTACTTTATAATGGTTACTTACAATAATCAAAAGATAGGTATTAAAGGGTAGGTATTAACATTTTATTGTAGCATGCCTGTGAATTATAGAGGGTTCCAAGGTTTCTGCTTTTATATTCCCCAAAAATGACGAGCTTCGTAAAAAATGGTTGACAGCTATTAAAAGAGATAATTTCACTCCTACTAGTAGTTCCTTTGGTAAGAAGTGCATTAAATATGCCTCAAAAAGGCCAACGGCCAAAGCTTCTGTTACCCTAGTGGGGATGTAGTTATGGCTACTGCTTACCCTTACCTCACTATAAGTAAAATAGTGGAAGAAGAATCAAGCATTTTATGTCAAAAAGATCACAGAAAGATATTGACAACATTGACATTTGAAAATATAAATGGCCTGGATGTAAGTCTTTTTTAGGTCACAATTGCCCCTCACATACGTCAGAATTTATTATTAAATCCATCTTGTTCAGAATATCCAATATTTTATTGAAGAACTATGCAAAAAAAGGAATGACGTCTTTACCACAAAGACAATACCCTATGTAAAGAGAAAGAGTAAAAAAAAATAAGCTAAGCGTAAGTTTTACTTACGAACCCCCAAAAAGGTATTTAGTTTTTTTTCTATATAAAATCTTGTAACACATATTATATTTTTAATTTATCCTCACCTATTATAGTTTAAATTTATTCCCATTTGTGTAATGCTGCAAAACATAAAAAAATATTCCATATTTTTTGACCCAAGCCAGTGTAGTTTATAGTTCGAAGAGCATTTACCAAGGCTTTTACTAAGGCAAGTAACTTCCTATACTGTCCATAATAGTATATATTTATCAAACGTTTAGTAAATTCTAAACTATGGTAGGTAAGTGTTTGCAATTGAATATTTAGTTTGTATTGCTATTTTCTGTCATATATTTCTGGTTATTTCTTTTTCCGATGATTTTGAACACCCTGTATATGCTACTTCAAGTTTGAATATTTTAACACTACTTATTTTCTGAGAAAGCAGACCTTTTTATAATAAGTAACTAACTGATGTTTTCATAAAAGTAATAGTACGAAAAATTCCATACTTATGTGGAGAACTTTAGGCTCGCTGTAAATTAAAAAATTAGTGAAATATGTATATATTTACGTAATCTAACCCGACATTTGTGTGAAAAATGACTATTTGGAAACAAAATAGTTTTAAAATACGCGCCAAATAAGGCACTTCTATCTCCACCATATTGGAAAAGGTTGAATGGACTTGTGTGGAGGTGGTGATGGGTCAGCATGGTGGCCCGGCCGCGGCCGTGTTGCCGCTTTTCAACATGCCAGGTGTGACGTATTAAAATAAAGTGCGGATTTTTATTCTGGGCTTTTTTGTTTTTATTTATTTTCTTAAGAACGACTTAAAATTTTTCGAAAGCGAGATTGCAGAAAGTTCTAGAGTTAATTGTTTCATTCAATTATGCTAATTCCAAAATATAGTGAAAGAGCCCATTCAGCCTCCGCTATGAGCAATTTTTTTCACAACTCATAAAATTAAAATTAAAATAAAATCAAAATTATATATTTTGTGACGACTTTTCTGTCGTTACCCAAATAGAATGAAAAAAGAATCCGTTGCTCAGGGTTAGAGGAAAGCTGGGTTCGTAGGTAAGGCTTCTGACTCACAGTGACTTTCTAATGTTGTTAAATATTAAAATAAAAAAATGATAATATATAGGCTGCAGAGATTTTAATATTGATGTTAAGAATTCAAATAGGTATGGCCAAAGACAGTGAAAAGGGCGCCACTTACTTTGTTTATGAGAGTGGTAAAGTAAGAAACCAAAAAGAAAAATATGATATCACAACATAGCTAAAATAAAGTAATCAACAGCATTAAGGGTCTGTTATGTTTAGCAGGAATAAAAGTCAGAAATAACTATCCTACATTAAACATTTATTGAAAACGAACATAAGTATCATCAATTAGTCACAGTGATCCCAATAAAACCGCAAGTTATTTTAAATAGATTCGAATTTAGTAACTGTATTCTTTGAACTAAGTAAGCTACTTAATATAAAACAGGTGAAATTTATGTGTCTCAATACGATGATGTTTCGAAACATGTCGTGTACAAAAACCTTTAAAATGAATATGTGTTAATAATTTTCATATAAAATATCATAGCTAAGTAAGAGTGTACTGTACGAATCAAATTATAACTTATAACGTTAAATAAAAAATAATTTTGACTACAATATGTGGGATAAATAGTGATAATTTACCAGGTTATTAAATCCGCTGTCTCAAAAATTATAAAGTAAAAGCGTACCTTGTGTATCAAACTTAAGAGAGAGAGACTTATCTGTATATAGTTTCTTATGATGTAAAGAGGTAGGTAGGTATTCTCCAGACTAACAGAAGTGGATGCAGATGACTATGGCAGGAGAAGTCTTCGATATCAGCCAAAAGAACGATTGTAATGTCAGGAACACTGTCTTAAGGTCTGCATAGGTCCATACAAAATGCAAGTGGGTGAAACATACAATAATTACTGCATTATTACTGCATACCATGTGGTAATTACTGAGTACCATGTGGTAGTTACTGAGTACCATGTGGTAGTTACTGAGTACCATGGGGTAGTTACTCTATAAATAAAAAAATAGTTCTCAGGACAGATACTCAATAAAAGAAACAACTTACGGTCTGAAAATCAGCTTTACATAAATATATTCAAACCATATGCCGATCCAAACCAGTAATTAAATACTCAAATAAACGAAATAACAAACGGAAATAACTGAAATAGAATTTAGTTAGATAGCACTATATAAAATGGCGGATAAACTTACGGTGATCATTCCAAGAAGAAACCAAACAAATACGATCTATACTCTGGATTGCATACTTTACAAGGTTTTCAAATCTCCAAATCGGACACCCATGCAATGGAAATTGAAAAGTGGATTCAGAGTGCTTTTCACTGGAAAATTTGTCGGACGCCGACACACGCGTCTTCTTCAGATCCAAATTCCCAGAAAGAAAGACCTTCTTCTCAGTTTCAGAACCGAACTGTCATAAATGAAGTTTGACATCTAGCGAATAGATGCGCTAATAAAAATTAAGTATCGGGACAAGTGAAATACAATTAAGGAAGTTTGGCATATAGCGAATATATGGCGCTAATAAACAAGACAAGTGAACTGTAATAAATGAAGTTTGATATCTTTGGCATCTAGCAAATAGATGGCGCCAATACTAAGAAATTTAAATAAAAATAGAATTTTAAATTCAATTTTATTAAAGGAAATAAAAAATGCTACAATTTTACTTAATTTATTATTAAATAGTATTACTATTAGTTGTAATAAGAACTAATAGTCCGATTCTGCTTTGTTTCGTAGCTACAAGGTGTAAAATTCGTAATATTTTTTCGATTTATTATAATTTTCTTCCAAATACTTTTAGAGATTCGATTGAAATTTTGAGGGTAAAAGCTACTATAAATGCGACATATTTTAAATCTAAAAAAGTGTCGACATATCACCACTGACGTGCATATGGGTTATTACTGGACAATTTCCCTAAAAAAGCATGTACGCCACTGACTTTTCTTCTCTTGTTAGCGAAATAGTGTAAGCAGTTTAATGCCGTTTAAAAGTTGCCTCTTGATATTTTGTCGACTTCGGCCTCCTTGATAAGATAAACGCAATTTTATTAATTTGTCTTGATCCAAGTCTAATAAAAAAATACTGGTATCTAACCTAATCACAAAAAGCGTAATTTTAAAAAGTTTTAACATCCTGTAACTACTCTAAAAATATGCATTTCCATGCCCATGTCTGTAGGAACTTTTTTCACATTTTTTGATGATGAATCAATGAGTACGTGTTTAAAACTTTCGCAAGTTAATGATATTAATTTTTTTTATTAGACTTGGATCAAGGCAAATTAATAAAATTGCGTTTATCTTATCAAGAAGGCCGAAATCGACAAAATATCAAGAGGCAACTTTTAATCGGCATTAAATTGCTTACACTATTTCGCTAACAAGAGAAGAAAAGTCAGTAGCGTACATGCTTTTTTTAGAGAGATATTCTAGTAATAACCCATATGCACGTCACTGGTGAATATGTCGACACTTTTTTAGATTTAATATATGTCGCATTTATTATAGCTTTTACCCTAAAAATTTCAATCGAATCTCTAAAAGTATTTGGAAGGAAATTAGAATAAATCGAAAACATATTACGGGTATACTTTATTATATAAACACCCGGTAGCTACGAAACAAAGCAGAATCAGACCTATGTTGATATGAAAAATAAATCTTATTTTTACCTGAGGAATCTCCCCACGAGAGATAGCACATTTTTGAAACACCCTGTATATTACTAAAAGTGTATTGTATAAAAATACTTTCTCTTTATAATGACTTTCGCACAAAAATATGTGTTTATCTTGTAAATCAAGTTAAATATACTAAACTAATTTTTTGTAGGTCCCCGAGGGAGAAGCTCGTCTCCTTCGTATCGCACATCCTCTAGGGGAAACATAAACGTGGGTTACAGTGGAAACAGCGGCTTTGAAAGTAGCGGTTCACGTCGAGCTAGTAGTTCGGTTAGTCAGGTAAGGCGGCAATGTAACGAATGACATTGCACTTGTAGGTATGTGTGTGTGTTTGTGTAAAATACAGTATTAGATGAATGCTTGCAGAATGTGCATGCCGTTTATATGGTAGATAACGGCCTTGTTTAAACGTGTCTTTTGGAATGTTTAGGGTTGTACTGTTATTACTACTAATACTTGTTCTAGATATATAGATTTCTTTCTTAAAAGGTGATTTCAGATATTTATAATTATATATTGATTATATTTTTTTGTATAATATTGATTATATTCTTTCCTTTTGTAAATTTTAAAAAAATAGTTTTATGTTTAAAAATTAGTTTCGCTACCGGTAAATTGCCTCTGGAATATTTGATGAAGGGCTCGGAATGAAATAAAGGTTATGAAAGAGCAACGAACTAGTAATCAATTAGAACATTCCAGTCGATCTAAATCTTAGAAATAGTAGATAAATACATATCCAATACGATCGAATAAAAAAAGGAGTCAGTTTTTTTTGTAAACTTAAGCTTCATTCAGAACCTCGCGATTAGTGGAATCAATTAGTGGTTTCAATTACATTTTATACTTTTTAGTTTGCGATCATTCAAAATGTCTAAAAAGCACAATGAGGAAAATGCATGTTTTTAAATAATGGTTTTAAAAAATAGTTCATATAATTACAAATTGAACAAAAAAAAATCGTTGATATCGGTTAAGAAATGCCTCTAATATAAAATAATTAAATATTGTTAATTTAAATGGCCGGGCAAACGCTCTCTACCGCGCCTTGCCGCTGTGGCGTCACCCGCCGTTCTTCTGGTTGAGTGGAGCCAGACGCGTGTTTATTTTACACAGTTTGCTTTTAAACGCTGTTGAATCCGAGTCAACATTTTAGTTATTTGTGTTAATTAATACATAATTAGTAATTAGTGATATTTATAAATAGTAATGGATGGGCGAAAACATGATTGAAAACAACATCGAATATCGAGCAGAACTTTATGGGGAGTTCAACCTAGAAATATTATCTGACCAAGAGTGCAAAGCTAACTTCCGCTTTGAAAAAAAGACATTCCTCGATTAGTTGAAGCACTAAGAATTCCCAACGAGTTTAACACAGATAAAATAAATAATCAAAACAAACAAAATAGAATGAGGTTAGGTTAGATCTGTATTTTTCAATGTTGTGTTTCTACTGCGCTAGTGCGCATGCGTACCGCTATGTTAACGGCTTTGGCTAACGTCCGTAAAATATCGGCAGCTAGCGGTTACGATATACGATAATCGAAATTGAAATGTCAAAGTTGTCAATTAGCGTTAACCGGAATTGCAATTTGTAAGCAACGAAAACTCCCTAATACCAGATTATAACCGAATAAAAAGAAACCCTTCAGACAGAAGGTAAGTTTCTATTTTACTTTTTTTTCTAACAAATTTCATACTTTGAGGTGCAAATATTTAATTCATACTTACTAAATATTAAACATTACATTACATATAACTAAATCTATATATAATACAAAAAAAACTATGGATAAAAAAAAAACTTAAATCTAATCCTAAAGTGACCGAAACAAAAATAAAATATTAATTCTAAACATAAAAGAAAAACGAACAAAACCTAAAAAATCTTATTTCTAAAAAAAAACAATTAAAACTAATAATAAAAACTCTTAAAAATAACCTTATAATCTATAATAAAAACTATTCTATTTATAAAAAAAACAATTATTTACATATGTACAGTTTCCGTAGATACCTAATTAATTTTAGCTTTTAGTACGGCTTTGAGGGCTGGGTATAGATAAATCAATTTCTAGGGTTGGGAATAGTATTCTGTAATAAATTACGTAATATTCTTTTGCTTTTTATTAAGATAAATTATGCTGATAATTTAGCTTAAATGCTTTATTTTTTTTTTGTTTCTTTTGATTACTGCTATTTATTTTTCTAGAGCAAAGTAGTAAGATATTTCTTTCTTTGTTCTAGGATTTTTTTTGGGGTCTTTTGGCAATTTTATTTGCTCCTTCATACTTCGAAGTACTACTTCGTACTACATTTACGTACGGGCACTTATTATATGGGTACAGATATCGACTTGCGTAGAAGTGGATGGGTTTTGGTTTCTGATGCTGCATAAGAGTAACCTATAGGCACAAGAACCTAACTTGGCTATTTAGTATTGATTTTTTTTTAAATATTATGGTGATATATGTAAACCGCATATAGCTATATCTGGTATGATTTTTTTTTGTAATTTGATTTAGATTTATTAAGTTTACTGCAATTTTTTTTATTATAGTTGGAAAATTTAGAGTGATTATTCTGCCTATATTTAGAGAATATTTTTACTATTTTTTGTGAGTAATTAAATTGATTCTCATTGGTCATACCCTCAACTCTCGTAAAAAAAATAATAACATTTTTTTTTATTTAAATATATTCTTCTTTTCTTTTAAAGTTGTTAGGTACTTCGATTCATATATTTAAATTCTTTATAGTGTAAATTTCACACTTTAAATTTAATATAGTATTTTTGTTCTCACAATTTTTTTATTTATTTTAATGGCAATCCATCTATTTTTCACATAAAAATATTTCGTAATTTAATCAGAACAACTCTTCTCTGTGGATTAAAAAATTACGTGGCGCCCTGGGAATTTATTTCCCTTAAGATCTGTAACCCACCCCGTCTCCACTGTATAAAAGCTAGGGGGTATCTACAGAGGAGAAATTTTATAGTGGATTTAGCCGTCTCTGAAACGTTCTGTTTTTATTAAGATTTTTAATTTTTCTTTTGTTTAAAAAAAAATAACGCCACACCCTAAATATGTCGTCAGCTATTATAACAAAACTATTTTTTGTTGCAGCTCGAGATTTCAATGAATTTTAAATACCTAAGAAGCCAGCTTTAATACTTGTATTTTATTGCTATTTACGTAATTATCAACAAACTAATTAAGATTAAATATAAACTTAATTTTTTTTATTACACAAAACGTTAGTCCCAGTTTTTAGAAGTGTAGTATTGCCCAAATTGTACAAAGAATCCTTAATGGCGCATCCGAGGGGGAGATAACATTTCTTCTCCCCCATGGGTACGCCCATGGTCTTATCACAAATTTAATTACATTTTTCGTATCAAAACTTACAAAAATATCCAGCATTTTGGTCAGGATATGGTAAATATGTTAAAGAATGAAAGGTACTGCGGGTAAAAAAGTTTAAAATGACCTATTAAACAACTATGCCAAGTTTCATGCTTTTAACCCAATTTGCTACGTTTTTTATGGACCGCATGTACTATTATCAAAAGACTGTGACACGATCTACATTCCGAGTTTCAGCCCTCACATAGGGTCCGAGTTACGACTGTCCAAAGATCCATCTCAACTTTCTCGTTGGCTTACCACTTTTTCGATCGTCACCACTAGCTGGTGTGACACGTGTCGTGACGCTAGCTCGTGTTTAGCGGCCTTGAATTTTTACTCTCAGCGTGCATAAAGAAATTTCACTTCAAAAAGGGAATTAAATCGATAACAAAAACAGAAATACATTTTTACGGTTAAAGAAAGCTTGTTTCTTGTAGTGTACCCGTGAATGACGATGATGATAATGAGCAGTTTTGTGTATAAGTATAAGGAATTTAATTATAATATTTCATATACGACATTTATTGTTTTATTATTATTCTGAAAACTATTTATTCTGAAATCTAAACTAAAACTTGACTGGTCTAAGTATAAACTATACCCTATACCATCAGTATTATAAAAACCGTGTTATATTTTCTTAAAAATATTGATTTTATTCATATTTTTATTTAGAAGAATTAAGAAATGGACTAATAATTTAAATATATTGTGTTAACGATAATTTATCGCTCAAATAAAAATTAAATACTATGAAATGACATGTAGGTAAAAATTCCTGTAAAGGTAAGTCTATGACAAAATGTGATAAATTGTCTTGGCCGTTTCATAGCTTTAACATCCGCTGTGATATCCGTAAATGAAATAATCCTCCCCTTGTTACCTCATAATCTTGTCGTTCGTTCAAGTTTAGAATACTAATAGTAATTTAAGACTTCGATTCCAGGGAAAATGGTAGTTAATAATCTTAATCGTTAATCTTATATAATACCTAATACCTAGAGACTTGACCTATATTGTTATACCCATTCAGATTACTATCCTGGTAATTTAAATTTAGATGCACTGTTTCTGAAATCTCTATAAGTAAAGACTTAATAATACTAATATAAATTTTTAAAATTATATTTTAAAGAAAGCCCATCTGGTAGAATAAATTAAATAGCGCTTAAATCAAAATATACCGAGTGTTTGTCAAAAGTGTCTCATTCCTATTAGCATTGTTATTTTTTTTAATATAATAAAAAAACAGATTTGGTATAAACGACATAATCAGGATTCTTCTTTATTTATTTATTTATTTATTCCAACGGTAAACCATTTTACATCATAAATCCAAAAAGTAAAAAGTACAAATATAAAGTAAAAAATATAGACACTCTTAAAAACATTTAAAAATGTAAACAAAATATAATAGAGCGTAAATAACGAAAGCAAAATTAACTTTTACACATTTCAGTCAGAGGATACTTCTTCCCAATCTAGTTCTAAATATATTTAAGGACACCCCCCAAAAAATCAAGGTTTCCATCTGCATTGACGTATGTCCGGTTAAAGGGCATATTCTGATAATGCCTCGTATCAAATTTACCTCTAGCCAGCACATTATTATACCTAAAATTTCTGGGGTTAACTGCAAAATTTATTCGCTGTAATAAGTCAGGAGAAATTATATTATTTAACAATTTAAAAATAAATCACATATTTAAAAAGACTATCCTCTCTTCTAACGGATTGAACCCAAAGTGCTCCCTTAATTCACTCATCTATGCATGCCCTGGCCCACCTCTAAATCGAAAATGCCTCAGAAAACTGTTCTGCACAGCCTCAATGCGGCTTTTATATATAAGATAGTAGGGGTACCAAATGGTTGAACCATACTCCAAATCTGAGCGTACCAGAGAAGGGAAAAGCATAACCAAAGAGTGCAATTCCTAAAATCCCTAGATGTTCTAATTATTAATAACATAATTCAATATTCTCTGCCAATAATATGCTAATGATATGCCAATAATATGCTAATATGATAGTAAGCTTACTATCCAAGAATAAGATTTACTCTGGGTAGCGCATAGTCACCCATTCTATAACTGTACTCGGAATAGTTTTCATAACGAGTGAAAACATTATATGTGTACTTGTCTCTATTCAGCTTTAAATTATTCAAGTAACACCGTTCCATCAAACTATTTATAGGTATCTCTCTGGAGTATTTCACAATAGTAACTTGATCTTATACATCTAAAGAGTGTCAGATCATCAGCAATAAGCAAATAATTCGAATTAAAAAAGTGACCAATATCATTTATTAAAACAAGAAACAGTCTAGGGCCAAGATGAGATCCCGGCAGTATGCCTGATTTAACGTTAAGAGTTGATGAGAGGTATCCATTAACCTGAAGAGTACGGCCTCGCAAGTAGGGCGCCAACCATGACAAAAATGAGCCACTAAACCATAATGATTCTGGAGTTTATTGAATAAAATGTTTTGATCTAAGAGATCAAATGTCTTGTTAAAATGGGTATATACGGAATGAACCTCACGATAGTGATGGGCATTACGATTCTTTATAGTGAATCGAATGACAAGATTAAATTTCTCGTATTGAATCGACTACTACGATTCGTTCATTTGAACGAACCACATGTACAATTTACCTTTCATAAAAACAAGAATCGTAACTGGCAGTACCAGCGACATTTTGGTCGGACAATTACTTAATGGGCTAGAAAAGGAAATATACAGTTCTTTCATTTGTTTTTCAACACTCTATGGCACTGGCGTAATTGGATTGATTATTTTACCAATAATATTAAATTATCAATCCAATTCATATATACTATTTATTAAAGACTCCTTAATACCAATTTAATATTTTAATTCCAGTTTAATAATCATATAATAAATAGTTTATAATACCGTATATTCGAATAAAATGGCGTTCAGTTGGCTTGGAATTAAACATCGATGACATTCCCCATATAATTTTAAAATGACAGCAATAAAAAAAATAAAATGACATAATTTCATAACCATCGCTGACAACGTTTTTTTATCATATTGAGCAGAAACCAACAATATTTATTTGGAGTTGCATAAAAACACGATTTCGTGTTTTAGTCCGACATTTAATGGTTTATAGTTGTTAAATATTATTTTAACAAAAAAAAAATAACGTGAAAATGCATTACAGATACCTCCCCCCCTCCGTACTAAGCACAGGATAAAGTATAAATAGGTTTTTTTCTTGTAAATAACTTTCTTATCGTTTGTATTTTATGCCCCTGATGTTTGTTTAGGGCTTTTGTTCAAGCTTAAATATTGGTGCCGGACTCTTTTTTACTGCTCATCGTCCAATTTTATGGATCCGTGCTAGCCACGATTCAATTGAACGAACCGTATTGTAAGCAGTGAATCGAATCTCACGATGCATTTTTAATACTCGTTCAAATGAACGACTCGTTCAATCTTTACCTCACAACTTTGATCCAAAGCGTTGCTAATAAAATCTTATATGGAAATACAGTATGATCGAAAAAAAAACGGCGTCCAGTTGGCTTGGAAATGACAATCGATGACATTTCCCATATAATTTTACATATAAAATGACAGCGATCTTCATTTCATAGCCATCGCTGACGCCGTTTTTATTCGATCATATGGTAGATTAGTCACAGTTGACCTCCTACTCACGAAACCATGCTGATGATCAGTTATAATATTCTTAAAGCTATTCTCAAGCTTTTAAGTTCTTATGCTTTTACGTTCCACACTTATTATTTATTTATTTTTTTTATCTTATATAACGGTAATTTATGTTTTTTATTGTTCCTTTTAGTAAGAAAATTACGGGTTAAAAACATATTTAATACATAATCCACATATAGGCGAAAGCCTTTTAGGGTTGAAAGTTTCCATTTATGGATTTAGCATCACAAAAGAGACCGTCTTAAGCTCGACACGCTCGAAGAAACATTTTTAAAAATTCATAACCTGCATACGAGTTAGCGAATAAAATTTTGCATTTTGCAAAGGTGATAGTCATACATTTTAAATAAACCAAACCTACTTTTACAAAGAATGAAAAGTAAGAACATTGAAACATGCCGTTTAAACTAACCAATTTGTTTTCGGATGCAATGGGATGGTTAAATTATGGATGAGTTGGAAAAAAATAGTTTTATACATAAATGTAGACGGATGAAAAATTAATGGTAACAATTAAATTTGGAATGTCTATTGTTTATGATTACTTTGGAATTTTATTGGAATTACCGTTCAACATTCTTGTTAAATATTAGCATTGATTGAAAGAATTGGGAAGATAGGTAACCTAATGGGCGAATTCGTGACCAGGCTGAGTTGATTTTCCCTTACGTATCAAGAGCCTTACGGTGGAGACAAAAATCGTTCTGCGGTCAACGCATAAAACACTAATTTTCTCTAATTCGGCTAGTGAAGGCATATCGAAAACGGTGTGGATCAGAAAGCGGCAGTGTTGCCATATTAAAATATGTAATATATATAATACGTTTTTGACGAAAATATCTTTGGATGAAAAATCCGCGTTTATGTATTGAAAATTTATTCGCCTTAAACATGGAATAAACAACAAAAATAAAAATTCTTTTATAGGTACGGAATACATCGTATGATCGAAAAAAGTCGTTTACTTGGCTTTGAAATGACGATTATTGATATTTACCATAATATTTTACATATCAAATAACAGCGATTTTCATTTCCAATCCAACTCTGAGGCCTTTCTTTGTTTAATCATATAATATTATATTAAATTTTTTAATGATGGAAAATCCGTATTATTAACGTACTCTGCCTAATAATATTTTACATAATAAATAACAGCGATCTTCATTTCCAAGCCAACTCTGACGCCGTTCTTTGTTTAATTATACAATATTATATTAAATTGTTTAATGATAGAAAATCTGTATTATTAACGTACTGTACCCAAAATCCGTAAATGTACGGATTAATAAGTAGTTCTGGCAACGGTGTCTCCGGCAACCACTAACTCTGTCGACTGAAAGCAGAACTACGGTACAGTATTCTTTATCCGCCGCGCTGTAAATGACTATTATCGCGCAGCGGCGCAGAGCTAAATTAAATCTCGGAATTCACGGACAGGCTGACGGTTACGCCGACTACATCTCGGACAGGTTTTCTGCCACAAAATAGCCCATAAGGTTGCGCATCTTCTAATTTCTTTAATAAACGATATTAGCTTCGTTCTTAAAGCAGTCAGGAATAGTTTACAACGGTTCAACGCATGTGCATGAAGTTTAAAACGTTCGCTAGAAGCAAATTTGGTAATTCATTACTTAAAATCCAGCATTCGCACATGAAACATTTGAAGTTGCTAACTAATTTATAACCGTAAGCACAGTACAGTACTAGTTAGAATTTTTTAGTTTGATGTTGCGCATTTTGATTACGAATTTATGACGTGCCGGCAAAAAGGAAACAATTACTCTAATCTAGTAGTTAGTTACACTGAAACTCGAGAACGGCTAGGCTGATTTGGGTAACTTTGGTTGAAATACGACCCCAATTTTAGTTGTTCTTCGACCACATGCAAAAAATGTATGAATGATGATTTTTTTTTGGATAATATATCTATAGATGCACAATTTTAGTTTAGTTATTAATGCATGATACAAAATAAACGGCAGTAGTTATTATTAGTTAAAGTAGTTTTGTTCACAAGTGTCCCCTCCAAAAGAACTAAATTAAACAGGTGGGGATCTCGCAGGTCTCCGGTGACGAACAGCGGCGTCTCTGCGCAGACCAGAAGTATTCAGCAGAAACTGGACAAGGACTCGGTCTTGGATTGAGTCTTACCACCTACGGATCGGTTGCCTATCAGCTAAAAGATGCCAATTTGGAAGCCAGCGGCACCTGTGACTTTGTCTGCAAGGCACTAAAAATCGTCAATAAAACTAGTAAGTTATAGGTACTGAAAATTTGAATGTAATTAAGTAAAAATAGAGAGAGAGCCATTGAGTAAACTCCACATATTAATTAATTTGTGAGAGTATTATTAACTTCAGAGCAATATTTATTTAGTTTTGTTACTGTCCAAATTAAATTATTCTTCATACAAAATTAATATCTAGTAATATACATGTAAAGGCAAACAAAGTTTTCTTGCAGCTTTTAGTATAAATTACTAAATACAAAATTCTTGCCTTGGGCTTGAGAAAAAAAACAACAACCTCTTTTTTCTATTTTCGAAAATTGAAAAATATAGCAGCTCAGGGCAAGAATTGTGGCCGGCCGTAGCTCCACCGTTAGTGTGTCGATCTGCGGAGCGGAAGGTACTGGGTTCGATCCCCAGCCAGTACGGTCGCTGTATTTATTTAAATAAAAATATTTATTTATCTAAATAGAGCGACCAACGAGCCGCTACCTCAAGGAAAACATAATTTCTTAATAATATGGCAACATAGGTATTAGATTAAATTTACAAGAAAGAAGATCCAGAAAAGATCCAGTGGTTCTCTAAATTTTAGCAAAAAATCATTTTTTTTGGAAATTTTCAAAGTAAAATAACTCCGTTATTTTGGACTTATTTGAAAAACAGTAAAGAAAAAATATGTTTCTTTTATCGAGGTCTACCACCCCTTAAAATATTTGCACTATTTCTGGGACACCCTGTATATTCGAGCGGCTCAAGAATGCTCTTTCCATCTTTAGAGCGAGATCTTTAATATCTCACTAACACTGTTCGACATTGCCAATTCAAATTGTTAAGTCGTTTCGTTGGTGAACCAACCTCTGGACAGCTCACCTGGTGACGGGTAGGCCCAGAAACCGGTCGTGGGAGTCGGTTTCCCCCATTAACGACAAACATAACATTTTTTTTTTTCTTTTTTTGTTTTTTCTATTTTCGAAAATTGAAAAATATAGCAGCTCAAGGCAAGAATTTTGTATATTTAGTAGTGTGTAATACTGCAATACATACATAAAATTAATGCCTAGTAATAAATGATTAACATAAATAGTCATTATAGGCCAATCAAATTAGAGGGATCAGTTGGAAAAAAGTATTAGAGGTAATTATTGTTTTGAGTGGTTCATTTAACGCGAAAGAGGTTTAGGAAAAAGGTTTAGGCCCAAAAGATAAGTAAATCTTTTGGGCCTCCTTGCTCGAACGGCGGTCGAGCAACCGTGCAAACTTAGAAAACTTTTCTTTGACATTAGATCGACCAATCAAAACGTATAATTTGCTTTCTAATACTTCTTTCCAAGTTATCTCCTTAATAAATCCTATTTGATTGGCCCATTAGACTAACAGTAATTTCAATAATAAAGTATAGTCTAATAGGATATATTTGTTTTGTTTTCAGTTGTAGTGACCATTATCTTGGTTTGTCTCTCCATCCTTCCTTTAATTATGCTAATAATGGGTAAGTATTTTTTTATAATTGACCTAGTTTTGTTTATTATCTACTATTTTATTACTCTTTACTCTACAGTAAATATAGTTAGTGGCGGCTCGTGACCTGTTAAGGGCCGTTTAGACTCTCAGTTAATTTGCGTAAACCAAAATTTAAAGTGTAAACAGAAATCGTTAAAGTGCAGTCGAGATATTAAATTCCGTAAGTTTTTTGGGGGGAGCTTTATGAATAATATTTATTTTTTACATGGTAATGGTATATTAATCATGGAAGTCGCTTTTGAAATTTTGGCGTTTGGTCGCCATTTTGTAATTTAGTGACATGTTTAAAAATGCTAGAATCTCCACAAATATATATAAATTATTAGTAATTAAATCGTAAATAGGTAGAAAGTAAAAATAAAAATTATTAATTTATACCACAGGGCAACTGTTGTTAAAAAATAAAATTTGCAATATTTTTTATGCTTAAGATATTATTAAATTATGATAGAAGATTATTACTCATTATGAAAAAGACCAAGTTAATGGTCGAAACGTCATGAAAAATATTTTTTTTCTTTCATCAATAAATAATAATTAATGGATCAAATCTCTAATATATTTATTTACACCTGACCTCAAACCAAGAATACAATTTACTTAAAATATCATAAGGCCAATTATTATTTATCATAATTATTAATATCATAAGGTCAAAGAATAATTGAAACTAAAATATAAAAAATTTAAGATTGTACTATTAAACAAAGAAACGTTAAAAAATAAACAGCAAGTAAAAAACTAATAAAGAAATAACCTAATATAGAAATATCATATGAATTCCAAACAAGGCATAAACACACAAATTATTATTTTTGTATTATTTATAATATAATTCTTCATCTGAGTTACTGTCTTACTATTGTAACAGTCAAATTTCCTCGCTACGACATCTGTATGCTAGCTCATAAATTAAAGCAAATAACTATTATTTTTGCATCATGTCTACTTCAATTTTATTGGTAAATATTATTTTATTTAGTATTTTACGATTATGTAACCGAATATACACCGCGATATTATACAGCTACACAGCATTGTCACTGGATGCCGCCACCAGCAGTAGGATTTTTGTCGAATTCTCTTTATCTTTGATGATTACCTGTCCGTCGCTTGTCACTGTCAGATCAAATCAGATGTTTTTGGATTTATTTATCCTTTCTTTTGGTTATTGAAATTTTATAATTATCAGATAAAATTTCGTAGTTAAATCGTTTATTTTTGATGTGGATCGCAGTGTGCAATTCGTTCATTTAATTGTAGGAATTTCTGAGTTAAGTTCGTTCAATGACCGGATATGGAATATGGCAGTTGAAAATATTCTAGAACATAGTTTTTTATTTATGCCTTTTTGTGAGTTGGACTAGTCGATATATATAGTTCTCTATCTATTTCTAAATCTGGTTTTGTGAAGGAAGTCCAATCCTTTTGTGACTTCTTGTGTATCCACCGTCCGAATATTATCGTGAAGATCTGGCTGCCGTTTCTTGAAGCAATTTCCCTGTTGGTGAAAAGCAGGACCCTCTAGAGAGGATCAAGTTTTCCGGAACACATTTGGTCAGAGACGTGGTTGTATTTTGTTGATTTGTATGGACCGCCGCGCGCCGACCAATTTCCGTAATGGGATTAAAATAGCCTTTTCCGACCGATATTCCGATTCCACGTGCCCAAGAAGTTCCTGAGTAGTTCCAAGGTATGCTATAATTTTTCTGCTTGTTCTAAGTCAATGCTCAACTGATTTTTGTTGATATTGTTGACTGGTTTTTGACTTTTCCACACCCACGTGGTGTAGAAAGATTAGTTGAGTTATTATCTTTCTTAAATCTTATTTGGTTGTTGGTAATTGTAGAGCAAGCAGTCCGACTCAGACGTACAGAATAGTTCAGAATTCCGCCAGTTCCTGTTGCTCGTGTAGAGTTGCCCGTTGGACATCATAAACCCTCGTTGAGGTAAAGTTCAGATTTAATTAGTCCTTTATTACCTTTATTAACTCCTACACGTTGAGCTAGTCCTTGTTCTATAATTGCGGCTCTTTTCCAAGACAACCAGTATTATTTAGGGTTTTTATGTTCACCGTTTGAAATCTGCACACCTGCCTTGCACCTCTACCTCTCCTGACATCCGTGGGCTCCAGTGACATTCATCGAACTGCTGTGCACCGCCGTAGCAACCCCGTAGCTATGCACTATAGCTAAGCCGGAGGAAGTTTCGAGTACTTTCAAGGCATTAGAGTAAGACTGTTTAGATTAGTATAATTTTAGATTTGATTTATGTAAACCACCCTGGTTGTATCTAGTATTAAGTTAGATAAGGGGGTTTGACGTCATCAGTTATTTCAATTGATTCAAATTCTATTTTCTTTTCTTACCATTCAATTTGCTTTTCTTAACATATTTCATTCATTTTTTTTAAATATTAACTTTTCGATATTTCAATAAATTGCTTAAATATTTTTAGTAGTATTATTTACAGTCTAGTCTCATTGTGAAGTTAGAGTCACTTAAGTTTAACGAGTTATAGCATATTTGAAATTCATGGTAGATACACACAACAGTTCGAGGTTAGTGTTGAAGTTTTGCTTAGTAGTTTCATCATTCACGCAGAGTTCATAGAGTATAATCTCGTTGTGCCCTTTTATCAAGATCTTTGAATCCCGACCACCCGGCTGTTAAAATTAGAAGCTAGTGGCCTCTATGCAACTCATCCCGATTAAGTAAACTTGTGTTTTATTGAACTTCGAATAGGAAAAGGACGCTGCACCATAGCTGAATAACATAACTAAATTACAAAATGGCACCCAAACGCCAAAATTTCAAAACTGACTTCCATATTTAATTTAATCATTACCATGCAAAGAATAAATATCAGTCACAAAAAGCCCCCCCCCCCTCCAAAAAAAACGCGTGATTTCATACCTCGACCGGACTATCAGTTGCCGTTCAAAAATTTGGCTTGAATAAAATCTGTCTCGTCTCCATTGTTAAGTGAACGTTACCATGGTTTTAGATAGTTGTGACATTCGTTGGTTAACATTTAATGTCACAATGTATTTATCAAATGTGTATTTAATTGTTAAGTAAGTTTTTTAAGATATTTTAGTATTGGTGCAGTTTGTAGCAACGAACTCTCAGATGGTTTGCGCAAATTGGTTTGCGCAAACCATCTGAGAGTCTAAACGGCCCATTAAAGTTTTATTTTATTTATTAATTATTTTATTTTAACAACTAAATTTAAACAGGAAATAGATTCGTCTAGTAATTGAATCTGTAAATTTGAGACAAAGCTTTATGATTACAGCATCACCTATTTTAAAATTAATAAAATTTCGGATTCAATTGTCTTTATTTTGTTTACACCTTGGTTTACACAACGGTCATAATCACGGTATATATCACTGACCGTTATCAAGTGTGAATCAGTCACCTATTTTGTTTCCTCTAAATCCTCTCTGCAATAGACTATTTCTCGAATACTTTTTATTACTCTTGTGGTTATACAAAATACCTAATTGTTTTTTATATTAGAAATAATGGTATGTTAATAATATTGAATATGGGAAAGTACATTGTTAAAAAGAAATAGACTGACACTGTTTTGATTAATATACGATTGGGGTGCAAGGGGTATTGAAGCGATACATATAGCCTAGCTTACCCAAAAGTCAACCTCACCTTCATGTGGTGCACCCTGTTTACACAAACGAGGCTCTGACGTCCGAGTATAGGCGGTATAACTAGAGATGAGCAAAATTGCGATTTTCCAATCGCAGTTGAAACTGCGATTGTGATTTATAAATCGCTGTGACTGTAACCTGCGATTGCGATTTTGATATTTTTAAATTGGTACGGTGTAATCTGGGAAGCTCAATCCCAAAATTTCTAATAAAAAACAGAATAAATAGCGGAATAATTTTTTTTTAATAAGAAACTGTTGGGTGTTTCGATGCTATGTGCCTTTTAAAATTTGTAGTGCGTGTTTTTTATGATATTTTTGCTGCACACATATTGCACTTAAAATTTTCATCAATTACCTACCAAAAAAAAATCCACAAATAACTTAGTTTCTTTTTTTTAAACATTTTTGATTAGAACAGACCGAATAAATTTAAAAGGGAAATTAAAAATACATAAAATGTTCAAAATATTCGAATGTGCTTTTAGACAGTAGGTATACTAACGAAAAATTTATTATAAAAAAGGTTGCCGCCAACCTTAATTCAGATAACTAGAAAAAAAAACTGTTTATTTTATCTTGTTTTCTTTTAAAAACATTTTCTTTATATGTAACTCAAAAGAAGCCGACGCCGACGGCTTTGATATGGCCCGTCCAGTGCAAGTGCAAACTTTCGAACTTTTAGATAAATAAAAGGACAATATCACATTTTATATTTAAAATTTCTCTAAAATGAAAAAACTGATTGTAAAGGATGTATTTAAATTAACATAGCAGCGGATCCACAACTGTTAGTATATTCAGAAAATTATATTATATTATGGACTGTTATAAAAATGTTTATAATAATATAATATATAACAAAATATAATAAATAAAAAGGGATGTTTCTTTTCCGTGCTCTATATCTTCTAGTAAATAAAGGATAAAAATAGATAATTTTTTATAATTTGAATCCAAAACTGTCCTTATCAATCATTTTACCTGAATCATTACCGGGGAGCAACTGTAACTATAATTAGTCATAACCGAAAACAAGAATTTTTTAACCTTCTCAATCCATAATTATATTATAAATCTGAAACTATTATCAAAATTTAAAACTAATAAATTATATATATTATGCGGTGTATAAACATATATAAGCCTATTTTCCATCGCTTCATAAAAATTACGGGGCCCTGATTGCGAATGTGATTTTGCGATCTAGTCTAGGCCGATGTGTTGGGAGCTGCGAACGAAAATCGCAATCGCCGCTCTTCGTTGGCGTGCTCCTGATGCCGCGCCGGTGCCAAC